TCCTTCAACATTTCTTGGTTTCTCTTGAGTTTATCCATAGCTTCTTGAGACATGCTTCAAGTTTGTTTGTGAGTATCAGAAAACCTGCTAGCTGAATGATGGTTGAAGGTTCTGGAGAAGGTGGATGAAACATGAGTTTTATATAAGTGCATGTATGTAGATGTATGGAAGTGCATGGGTATGCAAAAGATTTTTTTTTCTTTTAAAATATGCTAAAAGTTTTTTATGGAGATGCAATGCAATGTCACACGCGGGTTTAAGATAGTGACGGGCATAAGAAAAATGCATACAGATTTAAGAATAGTAGCAAAACATCCCATGCAGAAGGGTTCCTTATGAAGGATAATTCTACATCTTTTCTACCTAACCCCCTCACAAGGTGAGCTCTAGGGTTTTTAAGTAGGTCCATAGAGTCATGGGTCCTATTTGAAAATATTTTTTCCATAAGAAGAACTCATTAGACAACAATACTCTTAAAAGGACCTCTTATTGGTGAGGTTCTTGCATCAACCCGATGAAGAAAATGTCTTGTAGACCGATACTACCCAACCATCGACCTAAAGGTTTTAGATAAAAGGTTCATAGAGTCATGGGTCTTATTTGAAAATATTTTCGCCATAACAAAAATTCGTTAGACAACAATACCCTCAAAAGGACCTCTTCTTGGTGACGTTCTTGCATCAAATCAATTAGGCAAATGTCTTGTAGAACGATACTACCCAACAATCGACCCAAAGGTTTTAGATAAAAGGTCCAAAGAGTCACTGATCCAGTTTGAAAATATTATCGCCATAATTAAAATTCATTACACAACAACATCCTCAAGAGGATCTACTCTAGGTAGAGTCTTTGTGCCAATCCAACTAGACAAAGGTCAAGAAGGTTAACACTACATAACCACCAATGTAAACTTATTTTTCCTCGAGCTCGGGTGTAGAGATTTTCTCAAACGAAACCTAAACCCACAAATATACATGTAATGAATAAATTATAAAATAAAAATAAATAAAGCAAAAATAAATAACATAGAATCAAACATGTAAACAAACCAACCACCCTAAAACTAAAAGGATATGCTTGACTCTCTTTAGAGAAGTATCCTCAGCAGAGTCGCTAGCTATCACTATGTGTAAAAATATTTGAGTGTCTAAACACTCAAAATAGACACAGAGTCGCCACCGAATTTTATTCATTCTTAAGGAAAGAGAAAATAACGATAAAACCCAAAGAAATGAGGATAAGATGGTCATCGCAACTAAATATGATTTTAGAGTCGATTATGCAAGAGGAAGGTATTAGGCAAATCATGCATCTGTTATACTTAACGAGAACTCCTAATAGTCCAAGGTTAAGTGTTTGCTAGGAGAATGTTTGCATTGTTATTCGTTTATTTGTTAAAAGATATTTACAAAAGATTATTTACAAAAATCAGATAAAAGAAGAAAAAGTGTTCGTATAAATTATGTATTGAGTGGATGATCATTCTGTGTAAGAATTAGACCTTATTTATAAAAAACTATTAGTTTAACAAAAAGAGCAAAAATCAAGTATTGCTTAATATAATTAAAATTCTAAATTTGATTTTGTTTCTTGACATATTTAACCAATCATATTGATTCTTTCTAAAAATAAAAATACTATCCCAAAAATGAAATAATTTAAAAGGAGAACAAAATCTTTCAAATTTTTTTTTATATTTTATGATAGCTGCCTATTTTTGGGTTAAAATTGTATAAAATGAAAAAAATAATAATTTTAAAAAATGGCTAAATTAAAAAACAAATATAATATTTAAAAACTTAAAAATAAAGTCACTGTTTGGCTATTTATATTTTTTCAATAAAAATAACAAAAATAATAATAAGAATAATAATAATAAATATAAGAAAGAGAATACAATAGGGTTCAAACTCACACCCTTATATTTGACATTCCTATACATTTATCAACTAAAATATCTTGACACTTTTAATGTACTCTAAAAGTAAAATAATTTGGGCGAAATCGAAGTACGACACTAAAGATCTGTTGGACTAAGCATCCTTCCTAGTTATTCTTGGACCTGCCCGATGGCTTTGAATTTTATTGTGACTCTTCTTTAAAAGTAAGGGTGTTTTGTTTCAAGATTAGAAAAAATATTCTCTGAAATATAACAATGAGAATGTAATATTCTTATGTTTGATTTAAATTTAAAAAAATTATTCTAAGAAATTTTTTATTTCTAGAAATCTTATTTATACATGATTCTTTTAATTTTGTTTCAAGGTTTAAAGGGTGGAAATATAATATTTTTATAGGAATAACTTCAATCAACGGTAACTTCTTACTACTAATCACATTTATTTTTATTTTTATTTTTTTTGTAATTTTAAGTTAAACAAATTAACAATTATTTCTAAGAAATCTTAATTTCTACCAAACACATAAATAAAAATAATATTTCTAAAAATAATAATCCGGAGAATATCATTCTAAAAAATATAATTTAAAATATTGAAACAAAAACATTCTTAGGGTGCTCTTTGAAATTTTTAGCAATAAGAAAATACTCCTATAATTGTTTTAACATAAGCTATTGAACATGAGGCAAAGAAGGTGGATAAAAGTTTTGATTGACTATAGATCCATTTGTTTTGGATTTTTTTTTTAAATGATTTTTTTAGTATTACATAATTTTGAATAAAAAATTTTATAAAGAAATTTTTTATAAAAATTTATAATAAAAAATTAGTTTGAATAGTTATCCTTAAAATGTTATTTTAAGTATTTCTTTTTTTATTAAAACTTTTTTTAGATATCAAAATTTCAAAAAATCAATTAATTTTAAAGATATTTTAAATAGATTTTCATAAAAATCATTTTTTAAATATAATTTTTTGAAAAAATTCGATTTTAATTATATTTTGATTTTCAATAATATATGTTTATTGTTCAGGATTGGGCCGACACTTGTCCCACCGTTGGAGAGGCCCAATCCAACGCCTTTATCGAAGGTCCAAAAGCATGCAGCCCAAACTGAGGATCGTTGGGCATTTTTCCATGTATCCACTAGGTGAACGTAACTCACGTGTCCATATCATCATCATTGTGTCCTCCGAGAATAACGGGTTCAGCTCCTGCTTTCTCGAGACAGTTAACCAGAGAGGAGGCCACGTGCTGGATTTCATACCCACTTAAACTCTGATAATCTTCGTTGTTGGACCTCATCGAGGTCCATCACTGAAGACATTGACCCAGCGCTGGAGGATATACATACCCTCTCACTTGAAAGGGTCAGATATTCATTCCCTCATATTCACTTACTTGCATTAGCTTTGAACCTCGCGTTGACATTGAAGTGTCTTTGCAGGTACTTTCACTTCAACTTCAACCGTTACTCGACTCGAAGTTTGTGAATTTTGACAATCTCTTCTAATCAGATACGATCATTTATATTATAGAATATTAACATTAGTGTTTTAATTTAGAAATAACGAATGTAAGAAATTTTATAATTTAAAAAAACAGTTCTATAAAATCTATTTTCTAAAACATAAAGAAAACATCCTCTTTTTTTTTTAAACTGAAAGAAACATTGCTCTGTAACTTCGATTTAAAGTATATAACATCATATATCAAACATTTAATTTTTTCAGAGGCATTTTTTATTTTGTTTCTAACACTCCTTCAATCATATATAAAAAGTATATAACAATAAATATTGAATTTCTTAACACAAAATAAATATTAAAAAATAGAGGTCTTTCTAAATTAACATTTACTCTTCTACTGTCCATTGTCATCAACAATCTAATCACCTATTCATAATTGTTCACGATTCTTATATTATCATTGACAGTTGTTTCATATTTACTAAAAATGATAGTTTATTTAGTAAAATAAAAAATAACAATATCTTTTTTGATAAAGTGACAATTAGATTCAATCTAATTAAATATATAAACTATAAGGAGATTATTAAAAAGAGACTGACTGAATATATTACTCGTATTTTCATGCTATTAATATTATAAGTTTATCTAATGCATTACATTTTGAAAAGAAGCTACATTTACTTGTAAGCATATAGAAATTAGATAAGAAATGATATAGACAATATTTATTATATATTTTAAAAAAATTATGACATTACATTGTGAACTGTTTAACACAATAAATACAAAAAAATTATAAAATTATAAAAAAATTTCACACTTTTACTATTTAAAAATAATTTTCAATCTTTTACCGCGTATTATATCAATAATACCACGTGATCAATATAATAATTTTACTATTTTTAATATAAGAAAAAAATAAATCGCGATACTTATATTACCGTTGACTATTATTTTGATATTAAATATTAAATGAATTGAATATATTTTTTAGAAAATTCTTAACAGCTATTATTTTCCATCTTGAAACTTTTTCGTTTTATAATCTAAAATAATTATTTTAAAGTTTTAATATTTAATACTTTTTTATTGGTTTATTTTTATATAAGTAAAAAAAGTTATAATAAAAGTACAATGAAAATACTCCAACCATATACAAAAAATCAAATTTAACCGCGATAACAATTTAACTAGTAGTATTCTGAAGAATATATTGAACTCTTTATTATTTTTGTTGCTTTATAATACCGGAAATATAAACATATTTATTACAAGTATATGAATTATCAAAATACAGTTTATCCAATAGGTGCTGAATAAATTGAGATATATAAAATATGGTAGAAGTGTGTCATTGTTTTATATTGAATTTTCTGTCATATAAATAATATAAAAAGAGATTTGATGTGAATCTCTCCTTATGTAACGAAAAGGTATAACATTTAAAAAAAAAATAGAAATTTGGCTATAAAACGGTCTTTTCACACTCAATTATAGTGTGTTATATTTTAGTTTAAAGTTTGAAACACATTTCTCACTTTATTTTCACTCTTCTCTTTCTTAATTTCAACTATGTAAACTGAAAGGAAGGGCCGAGGTCGTCAAAAAATTGAGATGAAAAAGATGAGTAATGAGAGCCACCTGCAAGTTACTTTCTCAAAGCGTCGTAGTGGACTTTTCAAGAAAGCCAATGAATTTTGCACACTTTATGGTGCAGATGTTGCTCTTGTTGTATTTTCACCTAGTGAGAAGGTGTTTTCATTTGGTCACCCACATATTGATACGATCATAGATCGTTATCTATCACGGGTCCTACCCCAAAACAATGGCACCATGCAACTAATTGAGGCTCACCGTAGTGCCAACGTGCGTGAGCTCAATAGTAAGCTGACTGAAATTAATAATACGTTGGACATTGAGAAGAAGTATGGTGATGAGCTGGTCCATTTGTTCAAGGAAACTGAAGCTCGATTTTGGTGGGCTTGTCCCATTCATTCGATGAATAGAGGTCAACTTGATCTATTCAAGAGGGCTTTGGAGGAACTTAAGAAACTTGTTGCACAATATTCTGATAGGTTTGTAATTCAGAGTGCACCTACCCAAACTATTCCATTTTTGTTGGAAATGTTTCCAACTCTAACATGCCTCTTCATCATCAGGGAAATTCTCAACAAGTCCCAATGTTTCAACCATAATTTATTCAGAACCCTATGTTGCAACCTCATTTGTTTGGCTTCAACAATATGGATGAAAATGGCGGATATAGATCATTTGAAATCTTTTGATCATATGAATTAGATCTGCCTTATGATATCCTTATTATGAATATGTTTTATGTCATTTTATCATTGTTAATTATAGTACAAGGGCTTAATTAGTTTCATTTATGAGATCTGGTTAGGACTGAATCCAATATTATTTGAATAATTAATTTTATGTTTTATTATGTATTGTTAAAATAAAGGACATCTTATTTATTTATATTTCAATATTTCTTCAAAATTTTATTTATCTTTTGAAGTCCACTGAATCTATTTTATTCCTATATTGTTTTTTAATCATCGAATAGGAATTATAGAATTACAATCGAGTGTAAGAAAATATTAGCGGAGAGAATAACGATGAAGAATTGTGGCAATCATGTTATGCAAATTTTATTGTAAATTTGTTATGAGATGATTAATTTTTTCGGATCTTGTAAGAAGTGTATCTGTCTTAGTATAAATTTGTACTCATAAAAAAAAAAAAACCTTACAACACAAACATGTACAATTTAATAGTTTAAAATAAAAGCCTTCATAAAAATTAATAATTTTACTTTGTGATATCTAGGAAATAAAACCAATCCGTAAAAAATAACTCCAAGACACGAACATGTACTTTTTATATGCCTTTCTATCCTATTTAAAATACTTTTTTATACCAATTTATTCAAATAAATAGTTAAACATATTTTAGATAGATTAAACTCCATTTTTAATGTTTACCTTGAAAGTTTAAAGAATTTGATTTTATATAATATATATTTTACAATTTCAATTTATAATACTAAATTTAAATAAAAAGAAAAATAATTTAAATTAATAAACAAAAATATTTAAAAATTACAAATTTATAAGAATATTAATATAAATATTTTATAATATTAATTGTTTTTTTTTGTTATATATATATATATATATATATATATATATATATATATATATATATATATATATATATATATATATATATATATATATATATATATATATATATATATTATAACCCTGAATATTTGTATCCCGGCTGGGTTGCGAGCCTGACAAGGAATATGATATTGGCCGATCTGCAAGGTTACCCAACTAGTCCATATTCGGGTATAAGATCAGCAAGAGTGATATGGTAGAAGGTTAGTTGAGGCCAGGCTCTGGCCCGGAGCATCTATTGTGTAGCCAGATAAGAGGTCGACTCATTCAGCTAGGTGTGTAAGAGATCGACCCTGGGAAAATTAAGATTCGTAACAGTCAGCTTAATGATGAGATGAGCGTTATGAAACATTGAAGGCTTGCTATTATGACGGCAGCAACCGTTACAGACCCATGAATGGGAGGAAACTAAGAGCCACGTCTTTAATGAGGTTAGGATATATAAAGGCACCTCAAAGGTTGGAAAGGAGTTCTGAAAAAGATACACAGTGTTGCACCCTAAAATTTGCCCTGCTATCTTGCTTTTATCTGGCTTAGGTTTCCCATTTCATCATCATAACATACATGCATTCATAAAGCATCTTTAGTTTAAAAGATTATCAATATTAGGGTTTCACATTGGTTGGAGATTTCTACATCCAATAAAGTATGATTTCTCTGTTTTTTCTTGGTGCATTGAGTTGTGGAATTAGGATTATAAGGTATGGTTATCCTGAGCGTCATTCTCCTCAAGCTACAAGGCTATTAGGATTTATTTCCCCATGCATCTGGCAATCAAGATAGTTCCTCATGGGGTTTTCCTTTATTCATTTGTGAAGATCATCATTCAAGGGATCATTGTCACTGCTTGAAGTACAAGTTATTGTGTAAGGTGTGATGTGTACATGGCAAGATAGGGTTTTCATGTGGAATAGAGTTCATTTCCATGTTCAGGTGGTGGGATTATTTTTGTGGTTAGGGTTTACTTCCTTATAAGCATACTTGGTCAGATGGTATCATTGATGATTAAGGTTCTACTGTGACCATTGTGTGGATTATTTCTCAAATGTTGGGGATTATGGTCTTATTCACGCATCATGGTTTAAATACTCATTTAGTTGTGGTTCAAGTTCGATTTATTGGATTCAATTTCCAATGCTTGTTCATTATGAGATATATCAAGGTTTTGGTTATTCACATTGTCACTTATGATGTAAGCTTTTGATTATTGGGGTACATTAAGTCAAAAGAAGATTTTGGGTTATTGAATTCAAGGAATGGATATGAGGAATCGACTTATTTTGTTTGGTACCATTTTAATTGGACAAAAGAGTTTGAATTTGAAAGTATGATAAAGAGGGAAACTTTATTTCATTCAAATGGCTCAAAGCTACAAGAGTCAAGTTACAAATACAAGTTCAATTACAAGAAATTTACAACAAAAAAACAATTATTGACCGTTAACTTTTCCCATAGTTGATTCCCTAAGACCTGATGACATCCCATTCAGCTTCATTGGGCCTCCAACTTCTAATACCATGGCATAACATCACGTTCAAACAATACCATCCAAAGATCCAAACTTGCATCACACTTCAAGAAAATACCATAAAACCAAAACAACTCATGAAAACTAATCCATAACTTAACATAACTGTGTTGTTCATTAAGAAGTAGAAAGCCTGGTATTAGTTCATAAAATAAGGGAAAAGAATAAAAAAACAATAAAGTGGCCAGCTAATTCAATCTCTAACAGAATTAAAAAACTAAAATTAAAAGAAATTAAAAAGAAATAGAAGTAAAAACAAAAATAAGAAAAATAGTGATTAAAAAATTTTTTGGGGCCAAAGGGTGTTGAAACCACGCCCTCCATATTACAGCTCAAAATCTTTGCCACATGGTCACGGGCTAGGTGGTGTTAACATGATGCATTTATTCAATAAAATATAACACAAGTTACTAAGTGTGGAAAAAATGAAAAAAAAAACAAAAAGTCTAGGGCGATGAGGGACTCGAACCCCAAACTGTATGGTTGCGAGACTCTTAAAACCAGCGCTTTTACCACTAGGGTGAAATTACAATTCATTATTTTTCCAAAAAAATGAAACTTTCTTATTTCTCAACCAAATTCAAAAGTGTAAAACCCAAACCTGCTCATAATTTTATGAGGATTTCAAAAATGCACATACCAAAAATTAATATGGGTCATAGCTCACGAGTTTTAAACAAAACCAGAAACCCTAAGTTTCTTCAAAGTTAAATTATATGGAAAACAAGATCAACCAAGGCCTATTTTCATAGGGATTTCATTTATGGTAATTAAACACACAAAGTTGTATCAAGAAATGTTCAAAATGATCTTGTATGGATGACTTCAAAATCAAGAAAAAATTCACCTATTGTAGAAAGGTCCAATGCCTTATTCAAGCACTTTTAGTGATAACAAATGATATATTTAGCTTGTAAGATATCCCAAGAACATAATGAAACTTTTAGTTTGCTTTGAAACTATCTCTAAATCTCTAACCAAGTTCACTTATGATGGTAAATGAGTGCGGGTTGGGTGGAGCAATGGAAGTGTTCCAGATGCAAACTAATGCATTCAGAAGCTTATATATGGTGTGTAGATGGTGTTTGAGAGGTTAGTTTGAAAAGAACTTTTAAGGAATGAGAACTTCAAAGAAATGGATTTTGATTTTTAATGGAGTTTTCAAATTTTCCACTACGTGTTTCTCTGAATTCTTAGGGCATTTGAGTTGTGTTTTAGACTTGAGAATGGCTATCTATTTATAGGAAAAGGTTGAGAGGTTGAGAGCTGATCATAAACAAAAGTTGTGGAGTTTAGGTTTAGTTAAAATCCAAATGGAAGTTACATGTATTATGGTGATTCCTGTAAGGTCAAGGTTCCTTCAATAAGGGTTTCAATGATGTCAAAACTTTCAACTCTATGTTGGAAATGTTGCTAGATGATATGGTAGACAAGGAAGCATGAAAAGTCTTCAAGAATTAGTTTTTTGGAAATTTCTATGCTCTGAGTTGACTCAAAGAAAGCTCCGGTCGACGCATGTTTAAAAGTTATTCCTTGGGGAAGTCTCGGATTTTCTCACATCGACTGTGTGGTCGACACAACCTGGGAGTAATTTTTAGGAACTATGCATCGACGCATAGCCCTAGAGAAGTTGATGCATTAATTGAAAGTTGCGCCTTGGGGAAGTCTTGGGTTTTCTCACATCGACTATGTGGCTAACTCAACCTGGGAGTAATATTTAGGAACTATGCACCGATGCACAACCCTGGAGCGGTAGACGCATGGATCTTGCACTTTGTCTTCTGGCACTCTCGGGAATGCTCAGGCCGAGTCCCCCTTTTGGCATAGGTCGACCATTCGCTCGTTAAATCTGTTTTTCAGCTTGATAATTTGGGTTTTGACTTGAGATAACATATATAATCTTGTTAGGTTCTATCATTTGGTTTTTCAACAAGAAAAGTGGAATAGATACACAAGGTACCATCATCTTCAACCTCTCACTCATCCATTGACAACTACACATGATAATTTTTGTCGATTAAGGTGCGGAGCATGTTTTGGTAACGTCTGAAGTAGAAGATTGTGATCTTGTTCGGGTTGAGTAATTGTGGATTTTTCTTGAATAAAATTTGAGGGTTTTCTCCTCCAAGATCATTGGGATTTGGTTCTTTTTTACAATTCTTTGCTTCAAATCCAGTCGTGCTTAAGGGATTAAGGAACCGTGGGTTCGCTCGACAAGGTAGCTACTATTAGAGGATTGTGAAGGAAGAACCGGGGTCACCATCTTGTGATCAAATCAACCGATTAGAGGGTTTGAGAAATGGTTTGGGTTCTCAATAAGGTAGCTACAACCGAAGGTTTATCGAAGAATGGTGACATACTTGGTTCAAATTGAATCAAGGGAAGAGGGGAGCTTAGTTTTCAATTCAACATATTGGGTTTGAATTATAGTGACTATTTTCTATCTCTTATACAAACTTTGCAATCATAATAGAAATTATTCTAATTCTACATTCTAGATTTAGGGGTAGAGTACCCCACGCGAGGACGACAGGGGGGACTGCCTAAACAAATCGCTTGTCATTTTTCT